ACCGTGAAGCGCGCGTGCCAGCTGCTCGAGGTCGCCGCGAGTTGCGGTTGCCTGCAACTGATGGTCGTCAAATCCTGGGTCTCCTACAAGGTTGATGAAGACACGTGGAAGAAAAGGCTCGTTTACCGCGCCGCCCCTATCATCGACTTCCTCCGTCTGCTCGGCATCGACGTCTCTGCCGGCACGGACGACGACGTGCTCCGCTTCCTCCTCCACGCCCCCCAGACCCGGGACAGCACCGTCGTGATCCGCAAGGACGGCAACGCCAAGATCAGCTTCGACGCGGTGCGGCGCTGCCTCGTCCACGAGACCCACCGCTTCTTCAACTTCGAGGAGGACGGCAAGGAGCTCAAGCGGGAGATCATCGTCCGGCTCGACCTCCGCATCCTGTCGGACCCTTCCAAGGAGCTCCCGGTCGACCCATCGGTGTCCATGGACTGGCAGCCCTACCACGCGTCCTACCCCGTCCCCAAGTGCTGCCGCGTCCACATCGACCTCGGACCCAAGCTCAACCCGGAGGGCTACGCCGTGGACCTCGACATGCAGGCCGTCCCCAACTACCTCTGCATGCAGCTCAACCTCTCCTCCTCCCGCGCCCCCTCCGTCCCCGGGATGGGGAACGCCGCCCAGGAGGCCAAGACCTGCCGCAAGAGGGCCGCGCCCAGCGTGGAGGACGCCGACTCGTTCTGAGTTTCTAAGTCTTTCTAAACTAACATGAGAGTAAAATTCGTAACGTTTATGATGATAATATGATATGGGAATCTACATGTAGAGGTTGCGGGCCGCCGAGTTCAGCGCGCCCGAGATGTCGTCGTCCTCCGAAAGCTCCAAGTCCGAATCCATGCCGCCGTTGAACTGCGACGCTCCCGTCACCATGGCTTGTGGGTTGGCGTTCATGGCCTCTTTTGCCTTCTTCTCTTGCTTGAGCTGCTTCAACTTGGGGGTGGACACCTTCTTGGCTTTGTTCTCGTTGCAGAGTATGATCCAATAATCCAGGTTGTAGCGCGTTGGCATGACCGTGGCTGCATTCCACATGGAAACTTCATCAAAGTCACCTTCCTGTATGTCTTTGGGATCGATGGGCTTGCTGTACAATCTTGTCTGCCATTTTAAAAGCTTGCCTTGCATGGCGAGTGCCTTGGCCTCGTTCATCATCCTCTCGTCGTATGCTTTACGCTTGGTCCATATGGCCTTCTGCTCCTCGGTGATGCCGGCCTTGCCGAGCTCCACCTCCGCGTTGCTCTTCAGGATGTAGAAGTGGACGTACTTCTTGTCGGCGTTCATGTTGTTGATGTTCACCATATGGAGGTACAGGTAGTCACCATCGTGCATGTTTGCCAGGACATCGACCCGGTCACTCCTCCAGATAGGCAATGCGTCGAGCTCCTGGGCCATCACCGACCCGTCTGCCTTGAAGATGATCTTGGAGTGGTCGATTTGGTGGTCCGCCAGGGCCTTCTTGAAGGTCTGGTAATGCATGTTCTCCTTGTTCCAGCTGCCTTTGTAGATCTTGCCATCTTGCTTGGAGTAGGTGGGCATGGCTTGTCACTCCCAGCTCTTCCGATACCGCTCCCCATGGCTTTAAATACGGACCAAAAGAGTGGGCGTGCCATTCTTCCCATTATTTCTTGGCTGCCTGACCTCTCTGATTCCCTTTCCCTTTTCCCTTTCCATTCCCTTTCCCTTTTCCCTTACCGTTTCCATTCCCTTTCCCTTTCCCCTTCCCTTTCCCCTTCTTTGTTTTGTTACTGCCCGGGGGTATTACACCGCGCTCTTTGGCGAGCTTGTGCGACGGGGTGTTTGCTGTATTGGCTTGTTTCTTCTCCTTCTTCTCCCCGGTCGGGTTCTTCGCGGCTGCCTTCAGTGCCTTGGCAAGGGATGTGTTTGTATTGCCACGGACACGGATGGTCTTATTGAATAGAAGTAGACCTTTGATCAAAGCTATCATTTTCTTCGTGGTTGGGGTTATAGTAGTTTCATATGCATTCTCTAGCATGGTAATCGTTTTTTTGATCATACGCTCCTTGATTTCGTTGTATTTCTCTGTCATTTTAAGCAATGTTTTGATCTCTTCCCTCTTTTCGGGTGTCTTGGTCTCTAACTTGGCTCCAAGGTAGGCCTGGACGTTGATCGAGTCCAAGTCGAGTGGGGCGGAAAATGCAGAACCAATCATGCTGAACTGACTGCCTCCTGCTGGTGCCATTGGCACATCAGGATTCGATGATCCACCTTAAGTTATTAATGGTTTTGA